AGCGGCTATGCATGGGGGCCCGGGGGGTCTAGGACTCTAGGGGGTGCGACAAAGACGGGATGCCGTGGAATGTGTGTGTGTGTGTGTGTTTTTCTTTTTTTTTCTATCTTTATTTCTTCCTTAATGATGGGTGGACCGCCATGAGCGGCAATGCATGGGGGGTCTAGGACTCCAGGGGGTTGCGGCAAAGACGGGATGCTGTTTCTTGTCTACCTTTATTTCTACCTTTATGTTTGTTCCTTGTCTCGTTCTAGGGGTGGACCGCCATGAGCGGCTATGCATGGGGGGTCTAGGACTCTAGGGGGTGCGACAAAGACGGGATGCTGTGGAATGTGTGTGCGTTTTTTTTCCTTTTTCTTTCTATCTTTATTTCTACCTTTGTGTTTGTTCCTTCTCTTATTCTTGGGTAGGACCGCCATGAGCGGCAAAGACGGGATGCCGTTAATGTGGTTTTTTTTTTTTTTTTTTTTCTATCTTTATTTCTACCTTTGTGTTTGTTCCTTGTCTTGTTCTTGGGGTGGACCGCCATGAGCGGCTATGCATAGGGGGTCTAGGGCTCTAAGGGGTGCGGCAAAGACGGGATGCCGTGAATGTGCGTGTGTGTGTGTGTGTGTGTTTTCTTTGTATCTTTATTTCTATCCTTGTGTTTGTTCCTTCTCTTGTTCTTGGGGGGGACCGCCATGAGCGACAATGCATGGGGGGTCTAGGGGGTGTGGCAAAGACGGGATGCCGTGGAATGTGTGTTGATTTGTTTATTATTTTTTTTCTTTCTAGGGGTGTTTTTTTTTTTTTTGTCTCTAGGGGTCTTTATGTTTGTTCCTTCTCTTGTTTGTCGCTGTGGTTGTTGTGGAACTTATGTTCGTTCCTGTCACTGTCCATCTTTTACAGATTGATTCGTCGGTTGTTCAGTAACTTCGGTGCAGTTCTTTGTCGTTGGCGTCGAAGTTCGTTTCAGTTCACCCCTTCTGCGGATTTCATTCGGTTTTCACAACATGTTTGACCCTCGAGGCAATAACGGGAAGGGCCCCGCGGAGTCCTCCTCGGCAACGGGGAAAAGGGCGGAGGGTAGTAGAAAAGGTCATAACACGAAGACCTTTGACTCCCCTTTTAAGGTAGATCCAAAGGCGGATGGAAAACGAGATGATCCTGTTTGCCATTTCGTTGTTTGTGGTCGTTATTTAGATGGATCCACTGCGGTCGGGAGGAAGAACGGTCGTCGTTGTTTGTGCAGGTTATGCGGTCGTTCTCTATGTGGGGGTGCTCGTGAGGCGAAGGAACATTTTTTTCATGGCGAGGGGTATAGATGCCACGTGGCCACTCCGGCGGTGTGGCACGCGATTTGGTCAAAGGATATGTCAAAGTGTCCTGCATATTTGGCTTCTGCTGTGCAGGCCTTGCAGAGTCTCCCTCTAGGTCATCCCTCTTTTCAATGGCCACCTCTTCGTTCTCCCTATGACGTCGTTCCGCCGCCCCCGTCGACCGCTGCCCCCTCGCAAGTGGCGCTATCTCCATGTGCACCACTTGCTCCCCTCCCCCCTCGTCCGCTTCGTCAGACGATTCCCGCATCCGTTGATGGCAGACCATCTGTGGCAACGCAGCCTGATGCGCAAGGCACCGTGCCAGTTTCAGGTGTCGGGGAACCTGTGYCGTTCGACGAGCAAGGCACTCGTGCTTTCGTCGAGGGCGGTAGGTGGGGGAAGGACGCTGGCACATCATCAGGCCTCGCCCCGTTGTTCACTGGCAACAGGGACAAGGTCCCAAGAGTTYGACGCRCAGACACACGTCCGGMCGTGGCAGGAGCACCCGCAACAGGACATCAATCCGYTGCGTATCCATGGTTGCCTCCCCCTCCTTCGCAAACACGACGGCCTACACCAGACTTGACTTCGGCACCTGTTGGCGAGGCCGCTGCAACGGCCACTTAGGGTGCGGGAAACGTCCAGCTCGACGAGCCCGTCCAAGTTTCGGATTCGTCACCCACTCCTGTGCCCGTGAACGGCCCGACCTCGCAGCACGGTGTTTTTGGGACACTGGATCCTTTACAGAATCTGCGCAACATTGCAGCTCCGAGTCCAGGCCCCACCGCATCACCTGCGGCCGGGGGCGGGGTGTGGGATTCGCTAGGTATGGGCGCCGGTGCACGAGTGAGGGGCACTTACAGGCAGCAGGCGGTGACCTCGTATTACAACGACCCGCTGGAGCACGCATGTCACCTGCAGATCATGCGATTCATTGTCGAGAGCGGCATGCCGTTCGACTGTGTGAAGCTTGAGAGCTTCAAACGCATGTTGACGTTGATCATCCCGCCTGGGGTTCCAGGAGTCCCCACCCCAAAACCCCCAACGTATCACATGATTTGTACCACACTTTCGGATGAGCTTGATGTGGAAGTCCAAAAGTGTGTGAAACCTGTCCTCGCTACTGCAGCTACCTACAGTTGCACGATAATGACAGACGGTTGGACCAACATTCGGGGCCAAACGTTGTGCAACTATCTCATCGGCATTACACGGGGCGCCACATACGTCGCGACAGATGTTATGCGAGGAAAGAAGGATGCCACTGCTCTGGCGCAGGCTTGGCTGCGAAGGTTGAAGTCCCTTGACATCAAGCTCGCCGACATCACCGCTTTCGTCACAGACTCTGCCAGTTCGAACGTTTCTGTGATGGAGGTGTTCCAAAAGGATGAGAGTGTCAAGCACATCTTCTGGATTCCTTGTGTGGCACACGTCATGGACCTCATCCTTGAGGACATCGGCGGCATTAACTGGGTGGCGACCCGCATTGCTCAGGCGTGTTTGGTCACAAAGTTTTTCAAGCGTCATAGCCACGCTCGCGAAGTCTTGCAAGCTTTCACGACGAAGGCTCTGCTGCTTCCCGCCGAGACTCGCTTCGGTACGCATGTGATTATGATGCGACGACTTCTTCTGCTGCAATCGCATCTTATGCAGGTGGTCGTTGATGATCGATGGAAGGACACTGTTTGGTCAACGAAGAAGATTCGAGACGACGACGCGGAGGTCACAGCATGTGTCGGTTGTCCTCAATGGTGGGAGGATATGAGAGCGTTGTGCAAGTTGTTGGATCCCATCATGGACATGCTGCAGATGGTGGACAGCGACACGAGGCAGATTGGCAAGATTCTGCATCGGTACGACGAGATGATCGCGCGTTGTTTGTCTGCATGTGCCGCTTTGGAGAAGGACGAGCAGGACGCGCTGCTTGAAGTGTTTGACAGACGCCGCACCATTTTTAAGTCGCCTGCTCATGTTGCTGCCATGATGTTGGACCCCGAGTTTCGAGACCGCACGATGCCAGATGACGAGGAGATGCAGCACGGTTTGAAACTCGCTCTGATTCAGTTTGGGTACCCGGAACATTCGGATCAGCACAACGAGGTCCTCACTGCCATTGACAAGTTCCATTCCAGGGAGCCGCCGTTCGACGACGTGGCCATGGACCGGGCGGCGAGGAGCTATACCCATTTAGACTGTTTCTGGGAGTCGAAGGAGAAGAGGTTCCCGCACACGGCCTTCTTCGCTGGCAGGATACTGCGTGTGTGGGCAACTGCGTCGCCTTGCGAGAGAGCTTGGTCCCGTTGGAGTTTCATCCACTCCAAATCTCGTAACAGATTGGAGGTGGCGCGGGCCGAGAAGCTCGTGCGATGCCATTGGAACCTTCGGCTCCTCGACAGGCAGGCTATGTCGGACGATGCTCCCAGTGACAGGCCACATCCATATGGGAGCTGGGTGCACTACTGGCAGCAAGTGGAGGAGGAGGTGCCCACCGACCAGCAGCTTGTGGCAGACCGAGGAGCCCGTGTAACGGTCACGAAGGAGGAGTTGACGCAGGYGAGAGAGAGGATGCGCGTCGTGTCCCGCATGGGAGCCACTCGTCGCTTGCGGGAGTCTGACAGGAGGAGGTGTCGTGGCGGCGGTCGCGGAGGTGGTCGTCGGGGCGGTCGCGGGCGAGGCGGGCGTGGAGGTCCTGGCG